GAAAAGCCTGTTCTTCATTTACTTCATTTTACTTCGCATATTTTAGTTAAGTTGGTCTCAGTTGCTATGTCGAGCTGCTTTGCTGATCTATACTAAATGAATCAAACTTTAAATGTTTATACCCATTTATTCGCCACATGGCAAATTATAAAAACATGGTTGTATGCAAAACAACTTTTTGCAGAATTTAATTATAGTGATGAACTTCCATCTTATATCCATTAATAGAATACATATGACTGATTTGATAGATTTGCGTGCTAATTAGGATCATGATCATCCTACTTATCCTTTATGATGTAGTATTACAGGTCAGGGATAATAATTAGTCATTTTAGATAACAAATTATTGGAATCATATGCTTCGGATACTTTTCTCACTTATTATTTGGCCTTTTTTGCATTTCTTCTCCATTCTATATTCTGGTTGGTCAGACTAACCTTCTAGAAATCTTCACTGGCAATAACTTTTGCTTAGTCATTCATATCATAAAGTACAGTCGTATTTAAGCCCACGTTTATATCATTCGCCATTCTCCAACTTTTCAATCTTTCTTGATCTTTATTGTCATAGTCTCTCCATTTTATTCCTGATTTATATGTCCTTATAAACTTATGGGTTTCACATGATAAAATTGTAGGGTCTTCTGTACTATCCTAAAGTGACTTTGGGAAACCACTTGGAGTTGAAAAGTATCTAGTGCTGTGTTGTTTGCTGTGGCACCCATGTTTTTCTGAATCATAGGAGATCCATGAATGTCACTTAAGCGAATGTCTTCAGAGGGACAAGCTGGATCGATTTCATTGGACTTCTTTATAATCTTGTGGGTTAAGATTTGTCACTGAATCTTGCTTTCTTCATTTATGCTGAAGATTATGCTGCCATTAAGTATTTGATGTTATGAGAGCGTATGAGTACGATAGCAAAGGTCTGCTCCTCCAATTTTACTTTTACAGCCTAATTATAAAAAAAATTATCTCAATCTTGCTCTAATCAGGAAAAGAAGTCAGCTATTATATAAAAGGCTGTACTAACGCCGTTTCCTTTTCTGAGGCTTATTAGAAGATACTATGATGATTAGTTTCGTATAATTTATTTATTATTTTTTAGAGTCATTGTTTGTACTTGTTAATCACAAATAGGTAAATGTTAACTATGTCCTTAATCGCTTTCAATATTTTTTTGCATCCATAACCCAATCATCGATCCTACCTTTTAGAATAATCTCAAAGGGTGGATGATAATTGTGGTCAAAATCAAGCTAAAGATGGAAATTATTTCTTAGCTAATACGATTATCCTAGAATTCGCATGTTCACAGTGTTATGCTTTTACAAATATTTTGGTAATGTCTAAAAATTGATCTTATTTCTACGTAATCCAATTGGCTGCACAATCTATTGAAATGGTGATATTTTATCTTTCTCCTTGCTCCTTTATTTTCTTCTTGAAGTCTCCACTCTGATAGACCTAGCCGTCAAGCAGCTGGCGGCATATGAGCAGCCTGAGCTACCGGCTAAAATTCAGCCCCATTCAAAGTCCAGGAAGAGCGTGGTGACGTCATCATATACATCAACTTCTTCTTCGGATAAAGCCACTCCTCTTAACGATGAGAAGGCTTTTCAGATGTATGACTTGATTGCCCGACTAATCAGCCGCGTTCAAAATTTAGCATGTCCATCTGATGGGCTGAGTTCCGACCGTCCTGAATGGGCCACCTTTCATCACCTTCTTTTCAGTTTGCTGGATCAGCTGCTACCACGTATTACAGAGTACGAACGAGCCTCAATGGCATCAGAGAGACCAGGTGGACCTGAAGACTCTTCTGGGGTCAGATTGTCTGACCGAAGCTCGAATGCTAAGGGGCCTGCTTTCAATCGCTTACTTCGTCAGCTGGTGAACATACTTCGAGAATTCGATGTGAAGCTTGTCCTTACCGACCATGTCAAGAAACAAGAGTTGCTTTCTTTACTCTATAAGTCTATTGGGAACAGCATACTAGGTGAGCTATTCTGCCTTTTTAATCTGTTTATGATATTAAATCCATTTGTAAGGGCCAAATAAATCATTTTAACGATCTATATGAAGATGGATTTTATGTTCAAAATGGGTATTTTAATCGAATCCGAGATATTCCATAACTTTATATTTGAATTTGTTCTTGTTAGTGCCTACATTGGCTTTGCTGGTACCCAGGCTGTCTTGTGAACACAAATTTTCCAGCCTCTACTAACCTGGGGCAACCTGGTTGGACCTTTATCGGAGACCTTGTGGAAGCGTATCTTGTTCTGCATCTTCTACCATAAAATTCATGATAATTTCCTGAATCAAACTGTTGACTTGGTACATTTCCAGACATTTTGCTGGCATCATCACTGTAAGGCTCCATCCCTAGGGCAGTGTTACAACTTACCAAGGTGACAATTGAAGGCAAATTTTCTACTCATTTGTTCTGGCTTTTAGTGCTGCATCCCCATTTCTCAACCCACTTCATATAGCTCATTCACTTAGTCACACCATTCAGTATGAATGGAATGGGGACGGGAAGGGGCATAACTGGTTCATGGGTCTGAAGCTTGAGGAGAAGAAGAAGCCTAGGCATGAGAATCACGATTTTTAAAGTTCTCAAATATGACGTAAACGGGGCCATGGCTCAAAGGCTTTTCGACAGGCGGATATACTCAATTTAATGATTCGCAGGGAACGATTGGCAAGCGGAACCGAGGGGCGGCTAAACGAGAGTGTGATTGGCTACTAATAGCCCTGCAAAGGACATCTAAAATCGTTGGTGAGGGTGATTAAATTTCATTAAATCCACTTGAAGTGACACAGAATGGCGTGAATAGGTAAATAGGCCGTATGAAGTTGGGTTGAGCGACAGCAATGCAGCGCTAGAAGCTAGGACGAGGTAAGGAGGAGAGATGCCACGATGGTTGAACATAAAATTGGTAAAGGGGGTTTGTATTCACCTGTCACTTAGATAAGTTGTAACTATGTTCTAAGGATGGCGCCTCTCACTGACGATACCGGTGAAACGTCTGGGAATGTACCAAATCAACTGACTGATGCTGGAAATGGTCATGACCAATATTGCAAAGGACGCAGGACTGGGAGTGTTCCACAGGATAGCCATACTGCTTCGACCAAGCTTCGAAAATTACGTCAAATCAACACACGTAATGGAGGGTGCGACCAAACAGAAGGCCACTTCATCTTGGTCCTTCTATCTACATTATTACTTATCGTCTCTTTTCCTGAATCTAGGCCACCTGGAACTGATTGAGATTGAGCTGTTCAAGGAACTGATCGATCTTCTGCTGGAACACTGCGCCCTTCTCACCGAACGTCTTTCCGGCCAACTTAGCCTCGAGCGAACCAAGCCATCTGAAGTGACATGTGCTGGCGTTTCTGGTGTTTCATTCGGCGAAGGGGACCTAATCGAGGCATACTGCCGGCTTGTAACTTGCCTCTCTAACTCAGTCTACTTGCGACCTCTGGCTGAAATCTCTAAAGTCACAAGTCCCACGGCCGAGGACCACTTGGCGGGGGGTAAGGGGCAGTCGAGGTTCACACGCTGCTTCGTCACTTTTACAGGCGCTTTTGGAGTAGCTGCTCTCTTTGACAGACATGCTTCGATGGTAAACCATGCGTAATTTCATGCTTTTACCTTCATTTATCTCATTTTTTACGTTTGCTCTTTGTACTCTTTATTCTTGATGTTTACATCTATTATAAGATAGCTATCAATATCCCTATGTTTTGACCTTAATTATTTGCAACGAAGTTATCTGGCATTTCAGTTGGAAGCGAATTATTTATATTCCGATTGAGTATGCTTTTAAACTACCAGTAGATCATGAATACGAACGATATTCACTTTAAGGCCATATAACTTGATGAAGGACTCAATTGAATTTTTCCACAATGCTATGAATAAATCTTAGGATAACATTGAATTTCATATTAACTTGCTTCCAAGGACGGATTGCAGTTCCTTCTCTCTTCTGCCTCAATTCACTCTTTGATTCTACGTTTTGCTTGTCTTTTCGTTGCTTTAACTTTTTCTGTTAGATTTACTCTTACCTGCCCCTATTGCTTCCTGTCCATTTTTAGGCATATTTCATATTTAATCAATCCTTTATATCTTACGTAAAGTAATGTTATAGTATAGTACTCAGTTTTTTGTGTTGAAGGCCACGTCAAATCGACATAACTGGGACTACATGAGTATACAATCTTGTAACAGTCGGATCTCGACGAGGGGTTACATTTCTCTCTAAAAATGGGCATAACAGAAGAAAGTATCTAGGCTTTTTAATCCCCTAATACCTTATTACCCAACATTTTAAAAGAAAGCATGACAATAAAGTTAGGACATGAAAAAAGTATCATGCTGCCTATCTCTTGCGAAAAAGTCTAAGTAAAAAATTCGTTCCAAATTACTATTTGTAGTATTATTTTCAATTAGGCCTTGTTTCATTAGTGTCAAGAAGCAAAGTTCGTCATGGAGCCAGCATGTGCTGGTTTCCCATAACCATCTCTGTGCACCCCAACACCTTTCTAGATAGAAAGAGCATCCATAAAAGGTAAAGTATTCTTTTTCATATGCATTATTAACTTAGTATTAGTTTTACACTGGTTGAGTTGTGGGAGATAGCCTAAACTATTTGTAATAGTTAGAAGAGACAAAAATAGTCATATATATATATATATATTCAATCACTACTTGTAGAGTCCATAATAATCCTTCTACTTAGCTATTCTCAAATTTTGTCATGCAATAATTCACCAAAATGAGAGCTTAGCAAGATCCTTGTGCCTGTTGGCCTAAAACTAAGGCTGTACTTAAACATATCCCTTCCATAATCTCCTATGAAGGCTCCAGATTGCCAGATCCTGAATAAGCCCTTAAGCCAGTGTTGGTATACATGAATGCCACATGGAAGCCTAATAATGCGCCTTCCCACAAAGTTATTTGTTAGTCTATTAAATCGAAAAATATATAAGAGTTTGACTGAATATATCCAATGTTCAGTCCCTTTTATTAATAAAAAAATTTTTAAATGAGACCTTGTGATTCACACTCCCTTTATTATTCATTATTGATTTAACTTTTGTAAGCTATGGCTGCCCTATCATCTCTTCAAAGTAATGGGTTCATTTTCTACCACTTCATTAAGCTGTTAATTATGCTCGCCTATAGATTATCCTTCGATCTAGTTTGTCGTCCCTCAATTGTATTTTCATCAAAGACTTAATCGAATCAATAGCTTATCTATGCACCTTAGCCTATCCATCATTTCCTTGAAAAATTTTGGAAATACTTATCAGAGCACAAGATTTCTTTAGTGTGTCTAGCTGATGAAAATTAGAAATCATTTCAAGCCTTATATTGTTCCATGATTTGGTTGGCTTTATTATTCCTAACATATTGGATTCTAGATGGGTAAGGTTTTTAATGAAAAGAAGGCGGATTTGGTCACATCTTTTGCTCTACATTAATCAACCGGAGTTTTAACCTGCTTAATTGATGCGCATTTTGATATGCGGTACTGTGTATTATTTGTATGCATGTTTAAAATCATATTAGGTATGATAACCTAACCAGATTCGAGGCTATTTAAGTCTCTCTCTTGTTCATCGATTCTTCCTATTCTCTCCATTTCCTAGCTATTGAGTCCAAGATATGAAGAGCAAGTCGGTGTGGCTTTATTTTGGTTATAGTTTCATATAGAATTTTATAAGTTATTTAGCCTTAGTCATGATGTCAGGAAGATCTAGGTGAACGAACCTTGTCCGGAGTCCTCCGCTATAGTAATAGTAAATTTCAGTCGTACTGTGGACTTCGTACATTCCCTTATAGCTATTTTTTGCATTTTACTTATACGTATTACATATTAATGCTAGTGGACAATAGTTCTTAATTAGAATATTCCTCAATCCTTTTTGTTGCTCCCAAAGTGTTCTATGTCTGCCTGATTCAGACTGAATCGATTTCACAACTCCTTTGACCCCTCAGGCATGATTAGAAAAAGGGTTACAAGGGAAATTCGTGTCTGAGTTTCATGAGCACACTTATTTAAAAGTTAATGGCTCGTTTGCCGATTAGAACATCCGGAAATAGTAACGTATCATCCTTTCATAAATCCCTAGTAATTTCGTTTTACTAGACCTACCTCATGGTCCTGTAGATCCGTTCCTTCTTGTTCTGGTTGACCAACTTTACTCAATTATAGTCCCAGTGTGCATTTCACTCCAGGCGCTGCTTCTCAAGATCACGGAAGCGTGTACACCGCCGCCTTATCGAACAGAGCGCCTAGACTCTGATTCCAATGCTTGCAGATATCAGGCATTGCCTTTACGGGTCGTCTCCTCGATTAAACCCGCGTTACCTGAGCAAACAGTGGGAGCTTATTGCATTTTGAGTGGATTTATTGTACATTTTTGCCATAATGCCGAATTTCTGTGACGGTTTGAAATAGAGCATGAGGGAGATTGGAATAGGAGGCCCGAGTGGGATTAGCCGATCGAAAGAGATGGGGTCGGGGTGAATGGCAGGTGTGATGAGGCCACACTAGATTTGCCACAAAAGGGCACACATTTTGACGAGTGAAATGTAAACAAGTCAGAATTTGTGATAGGGCGGGAGTTGGATAAGAGGGTAAAGAGTTGATAGACGGGTCAGGACAGAAAGAAGAGTGAGAGTGTAACCGTTTCCGGCAGAACGTTGGTGGAAGGATTGACTTCACTTGTCTCTGACGAGTTCGTAGTTTGGTGCGGAGAATGGCAGTACTCACTGATGATGCCGACTACGATGCCAGCGAAACGAGACAAGACTTGTCTCTTTGACGAGTTCGTAGCTTGGTGCGGCGAATGGCAAAACTCACTGATGATGCC